TGTACAAGGCTTTTGAGTGTGGACTTTTGGCAAGTTATAACCAACCGTGAAAAATCCATCTTGCCAACATTTGGTTTTGGAACAACCATAAGTAGCCTGGACTTGGCCTGGACTTGCAAATAGCGTTTGTACAGATGTCTGCAATTTACAAATAGATATTGTTCAGGTATTGTAGGTCTAGAGGGCAGTGGTGGGAGTTTCCAATCTATGAGGGGTATTATATTTGGTCGTAGGTTCGAATCCCACCAGGGGTATGGCTGTTTATTTGTGTGTCAGTGTGTACTCCTGTAATTGGGCCTGGTGCCTGTTGGAAGCACATTAAAATAATAAAATAAATAAAATAAATAAATGGCACATATTTAAATACTTTGAAATATTTTGAGAGGCTTCAGAGGCAGAAACGTACATCTAGTAGTGAATATTTGTTTTAAATTATTTGATAACAAAAAAATATAAAATAAAACTTTCATATATCGGCACTTGCTATTTGTAGAATTGAGAAAAACAATATTAAACTGAAAAAGTTTGACCTTGAAATAAAATATTTTGAGAAAGTTTATGAAAATTTCTTCTATAAACACTTTATAATTTTATCGAAATCATATTAAAAAGTCTTTTAATAAAAATCGTAAAACAAAATATGAAAAATGGACATCAAAATGTGCGTAATTAAAAAACAAAATAGATCTGTTGAAGAATTTTTTTGAAAAAAATAGTGTGTATAATAATTATTAGAAGACAATTAATGTCTTCTTTATAGGCCTACAATTTATTCATTATTAATACGAGGGTCGATCGAAAAGTTATCGGTTAAGTAAACTATATTTGTTTTTCATGAAATTATATAATAATAATAATAATAATAATAATAATAATAATAATAATAATAATAATAATAATAATAATAATAATAATAATAATAATAATAATAATAATAATAATAATAATAATAATAATAATAATAATAATATTGTGGATATTACCTGAAACCTAATTTTGCGATAAATTGTTAAAAAAACATTTAACTTCGATTTATTCTATTTTTTTTTTCATAGAAATTTTTTGGTTGAGTAAAAAAGTGGTCGTTAGAGTGGAATTCACCATATACATAATAATGTCTTATTTACTGCAGCAGTAAGTACGGGTAGATACCATTTACCAAAGAAAAAAATATTTACTAAGTGTAAGTGAACTAAAATGTTTTAGAGAGTGGGGTAGTTAATAGTTTGCGTTTTTATCCATTTCATGAAAAACAAATATAGTTTACTTAACCGATAACTTTTCGATCGACCCTCGTATTAATAATTAATAAATTGTAGGCCTATAAAGAAGACAATAATTGTCTTCTAATCATTATGGATTTTTCGGTGGAGCAGGACCAAGAACGTTAGAAAGGACCGAAGACGAGGGTGGTTTTCGGAAGTCGTCCCGTTAGATGACGTCATTAAGTTGGGCCGTGGCGCCATCAACTGAGAAAGCAGGCGGCGCGTCGCCACTTGAAGCATTTGTATTCGTTTCGTGTGTAAAACCCATAGAAAGTTCGAATCTGGAACAACATAAACGTATATGTATAATACACAATACAACACACCAAAATAAATATGCCTTGTGATAACTTTTTCAATTTATATTGCACGAGCTTTTCTATGAAATAGTTAGAAAAACATCGGTATTATTCATTGTATGATCCTTCAAAAACATAGTTGGAATAATTTGTTTTCATAAGTTATTCATCAGCATCACTTTTTGATAAAAAATGATTTGTTAAATAAAAAATAAAAAATATAAAGTATTATTTTATTTTTAACAAGGATCATTATAGGTTTATTACAAATTATGAAATACATAGCAACTGGTTTAATTAATTAACTCTATTGTTTCTGCATTTATACTTTTTGTGATTTTGTTTTACTTCATCCATATAATAATTTGTACCTAAATTATTTCTTGTTTTTAACTTTTTGAGATTTTTAAGAGAAATATTTTCCGTTTTTCTGCAGAAAATTATATATTTTTACTATAAAGGGTGTTTCTTAATATAATGATAACACTGAATGAACTCAATCCTTAAATAATTTTAAGGAAACAAGTTTATATAAACCTAAGTCTGCCCCTCTATTTATTTAATTATTATGGTCGTACTTATTAATAACACTTAGTGGTGGCCATTAGTTTGGAAACTTTTTACATGTTTTTTATTACAAATTATAATCAATTTATTATTTTGGCCCAAACAACACATTGTGTATATGTTATAGTCAATGTGTAAATTCCGTACATGTATACACTGACTAGCTAATATATACGAGGTGTGTTCAGAAAATAACGGGAATTGTTAAATTTTGCGGGTTCGGAGGGTCCGGTTGTCATAAAATTTTCTTTATTATGTTGGTATATATACCCCTGAAGTATGATAAAAACTTCCAAGATGGCCGTGAAGACGTTGAAGATGACGAACGCCCCGAACGCACAAGCACATTAACAACCGATAAAAACATGGAAAAAGTGAAATAAATGGTTATAAACCATCAGAGAAGTCGCTGATGATGTTGGTATATCGATCCCATGAAATTTTTTCGAATGTTTTGGGTATGAAATGCGTGGCAGCAAAATTTGTTCTAAAATTGTTAAATTTTGAACAAAATTTTTGGCCAAAAAGAATACTGTAATGATGCCTCCATATTCGCCAGACATGCCTCTGTCTGACTTTTTCCTATTCCCAAAAATAAAGAGAACCTTAAAGGGCCGTCGTTTTACAAGCATAGATGACATTAAAAGCGCATCGCTGAAAGAACTAAAGGCTATCCCAAAGATCGAGTTTTAGAAGTGTTTCGAGTATTGGAAGAAGAGCTGGCACATATGCATAATATCCTATTTTGAAGGCGACAATATTAATGTAGACGAATAAGTAAATATTTGTTTCAAAAAACGAAAATTTCCGATATTTTCTGAACACATCTCGTACAATAACTGATTTTATTACGTAAATGTATTAAGAAGTTCATTAACTTACTTACCTACTTACTAAAATATGTTCATTGACTCCACAAAGGTAACAAAAGTGTACAGTTAGGGAAAATAGTAATGTCCGTTTGAATGCTCAATTGTAACTGTTCGGAAGCACTCCGAATCGAAAATAGTCAACATCTGCCTTAGGGATTTATTTACACTAAAAAAAGCGGTCAGCGGTACCCATGGTTATGGTAAAATAGGCGCAAATCAGTAGAACCTTGGTTGCTACCATTACAGAATGGTAATGAGTTATTGTTACGAATTGACATTACAGCAAAATGATTGTTACCACTCCTTTAATTAAATTTTACCACTACATTTTGTTATATAATAACCGTTTTATTAAAACCTTTTACCAATACACACTTTTGAAACTTACGACTACATAATGTTGATGTTGATTTTATAAAAAACATTGATAAATTTAAACCAATCACCATGTCAAAATTAAGAAAAGTTATTTATTCATTAAAAAACTCAATGGACATAGAACATATAGTCACCACCGCTATAATTAAAGATGCTTTCGAAGTAATAGGACACAGATTTTTAGAAGTTGTTAACACGTCAATATCAAAAGGAACATTTCCATCAAAACTAAAAGTTTATGTTGTAATTCCTGTACCAAAAGTGCCTAATACTATGTTATGTGAAGAATTTAGACCAGTAACCCAGCAAGCACAAACATCCTCAGGACGTCCTTGGACCAGCCTAAATGTCCCACAATGGGATGATCCTATAAGGACTTCCTGAGGACGTCCATAGGCTGACCTTATCGGACATTAGATCTTTTTTAGGTCCCAGTTTGGGATATCCTAGGACCGTCCTTTAAGGATGTCTTTAGGACATAATAATATCCTAATTAAAGCCTAAAATGGGCTGATCATAGGACTAATCCCAGAGACATCCTCAGAATGTCCCGTTAGGTTTTGGTAAACATTTGGTATGCACATTTTTCTATAAGAATATTTTATCCATATAATTAATAATACCTACCCACATTTTTTTTACATAACTTATTTTGCATAGACACATCTTAAAAATGTCAATCAATGTAAGTATAATATTATATAGATTTTCTACGACAATCACAAAAATTAAATAACTTTCAACAATTATATATAAATAATTATTTATAAAATCTGACATCGACCAGTCTATTTTAACCTCACTTTTTAGACCCTTTATTTTGATGGTCATTGTTTCGCAGTTGACAACTGCAATTAACTTCAACCCATGACTAAAAAGTCCGAATGCCATTGCTGCCAACTTCAGCCCGTGACTAAAACGCCATAAAGCCACAACTTGTCAATGTGTATTTAAAATATCATGGAAACATGTACGATAATCGGCGTTTTAAAGGCGGGAGTTTAAAAACAATATTATATTTTGTGTATTTGTTATATGACCACAAAATATATTTTGTATACAACTGGATAGCAGCCAACGTAATACGCATGCGCAGAAATGACGGCTGTAATTAATAATTGTTCAAACACCTTGTTTGTAAGGTATTGATACATTTAGAGTTTTATAAATAATAAATAAGGTAGTAAGCGTCAGTTAACCTTAAAAATGTAATTAAAAACGCAATCTATAACTTATTTAATAGTTTGTGTTACCGATTGTTTTAAATTTGCCGCCATACGTTATGGTGGTAATCATTGTCTATGGTGGTAACACTGGATGGAGAGAAAGCTAAGATGACGTTTAGTTGTTTGGCGCCTTTTTATTAGAAAATTCTTTGTCAGTGTCGTATATTTGTTATATGGTGTCGTGAACCTGGTTTAAGGCCGTGAATCCTTTTTCTATGGTGAATCTCTTGTTCTCCAAGTGTGTTCTCTTCGAAAATTCTGGTGAGTTATAATAAGCATACTTGTTAAAAAAATCGTAGGTATTTAATGTGTTTCAAAATTTTCACGAAAAATTCTTAATATTATTAAACACTTTTAAAAGTGTTTGGTTTCAGTGATTTGTAAGTAAAGAAAATGATGAAAAGAAGAAATACGACTTTTTATAGGAAACTAAAAATAGAACGACAAAAAGTTTTTGCCACGTTAAATGACAAAATTACCCAAAACTATAATATTTTAAGTCTAACCTCAGGTACTGAAGTTAAGGATAACAGAATTTGTTCAAAAGTACTTTCTGCTTTCAGCAGCGAAGTTGAGTCAAGTAAGAAAGTTACAGACAAAAAATCTGTACAAATTAATGATGAAGAGCAGAGAGAAGTCATAGATATTCTTGAGCTAAATGATATAGAAAATGTTGAGTTAAACAATAAAGAAGAATTAAGTAATGAATTTGGAGACAAAATAGTTCAAAGTAATGAAGTAGAGCAGAGTGAAGGCATCATAGACATTGGGGAGCTAAATGACACTATTGAAAAAAATAATGATCAAAACTGCTTTGAAGCAGATCCAAAGGCTTCTTTAAATGTTCAATTACAACACTGGGCAGTCACAAACAAAGTGACTCATATAGCCTTAAACAATTTATTAAAAATTTTAAACCCTCATTTTAAAAACTTGCCTTTAGACCCTAGAACTCTTTTAAAAACCCCCCGTAAAACTATAACACGTTTTGTAGAACCTGGACAATATTTTCATTTTGGCTTAAAAGAAAACATTACTTTTTTATTAGAAAATGCTCATCGTGATCTAAGTCAATGTGAAATATGTGTAAATATAGATGGTTTGCCTATAAGTAAAAGCTCTGGGAGTCAGTTATATCCTATTTTGATTTCTCTATTTCCTGTAAATGAAAATTTAGTATCGTGTGTTGGGTTGTACCATGGTTATGATAAACCAAAGAATGCCAATAATTTTTTAAAGGAATTTGTTAAGAAGGCAATAGATTTAACAAACAATGGAGTTTTGTTTAATAATAAAGTGATTCCATTTAGAATTAAAGCATTTATCTGTGATGTTCCAGCCAAGGCTTTTATTCGCTGTACAAAAGGTCATACAGGTTTCAGTTCTTGTACAAAATGTAAACAAAGAGGAGAGTATATTGTGAATACAGTATGCTTCCCTAGGATGAGTGATGAAGAGAGAACAAATGAAGATTTCTTGTTACAAGTAGATAAACTCCATCATACAGGGCAAACAATTTTAGCTGACATTCCAAACATTGGCCTAGTATCATGTTTTCCTGTTGAATATATGCACTTGGTATGTTTGGGAGTTGTGCGAAAATTAATTCTAAATTTATGGACTTTGGGTAAACCACCACATAAATTATCATCGTATCAGTTAAACTGCATCTCGGAAGAACTTTTATCCCAGAAAAGTAACATACCATTAGAGTTTTGTAGAAAACCTCGTAGTTTATCTGAAGTGCGACGTTGGAAGGCTACAGAATATCGTCAATTTTTATTATATACAGGAATTTTAGTTTTAAAGCCAGTTTTAAACAACAAATACTACAAAAACTTTTTGCTTTACATGTTGCTATATTTATTTTAACTAATCCAAATCTATATTGTAATAATTTAGAATTTGCTCATTCATTGCTTAAATATTTTGTGAAGACGTTTGAAACTTTGTATGGACGTCAATATATGTCCCATAATATTCATAATATGATTCATTTAAGTAAAGATGTTAAACAGTTTGGATGTTTGGATCAGTTTAGTGCTTTTCCTTTCGAAAATTTTTTGCAGACTTTAAAAAATATGTTAAGGAAATCTAATCAACCAATACAACAAGTTGTAAGAAGACTTGGTGAAATAAAAAAATACCAAAGTGAATAGCAAAGGTTTTCCCTACAAGGAGCACTCATTAGATTTACTTTTAAATTCTTGTTCTTCTCCACAGTATTCTCAGTATATATTTCCAAAATTTATTTTAAAATGTACCCATCCTGATAACTGTTGTGGTTTGAAAAATGATCAAATAGTTATTGTGGAAAATTTTGCTACCCGTTTAGGCAACCAAATAGTTGTAATAGGTAGAGAATTTAAAAGCAAGACAAATTTTTATTTAAAACCTTGTCCATCTAGTGAATTGGGGATTTATGAAGTTAAAGATTTAAAGGTAGACCGTAATTGGTGGCCTATTGAACAAGTTGTTACCAAATATGTGAAATTAGAAAATAAGCACACATTTCTTGTAATACCTCTACTGCACACTGATAATTAATTTTAAGCTAATATGTTATAGGGTTATTTGGAACTTTAAAACAAATTTTTGTACACCTTGTATAATAAAATAAAAAATATTATAATAAATATTTTTCTTGTATGCACTTATTCCTGTATGGCCTGATTGTACAATTTGTGTTCAGCATTCAAACTCTTGTTATTAGGGTTGCCCGGCCATCTATATTTAATAGAATTCTTCTATATTTAACGAAAATATTCTATCTTCTATGCTCCTAAAATATAGAAGCAAAATCTTTATATTTTAGTGTTTCAAATTTAACAAAAATATAGTTGCAATGTTCAGTTTATATTAGTGTATTTATTGAGTTGGTTTTAAAATATAATGTTACATCAAAAAAAATTATTTTAATTTTCAAATATGTTTAGTATGTTTTTATTTTTAATAAATTAGCAATTATACCTAATGCAATAGATGCTTTGTTTAAATCTTCTATATATAGTTTTTATTTTATAAATTCTATTTACAGCATTTTGATTTCTGGCAACCCTACTTGTTATAACAATTGTAACTAAGGAACTGAACCTTAATTAAAGTTAAACTGCAACTCAAATTGTACAACTGGGTCTAAAAGTGGCATATACATTTTTGTTAATGTTCATAACAGTTTTGCAATAGTAAACCAGAATTATGTCATTCTCGTCTCGAAGATCCGGCAACACTACAAAAACGTAATGAAATCTGGTTTAAATTTAAGGGCTTTATATTTAACCTTATTTTTGACAGTTGTCCGGTCGCCAAGTCCAAAGATCCCTTGCCGATCCCTTCCTGGTCCGACAATTTGTAAATCAATATCAATATGGGTTTATTTTGGGTCGTTGTCCTATTTTGCGAAGAAAACTCCGTTGAAACCATTCCAAAAGTGTGGATCACGGAAAACGAAGACTTTGCATATTGGCCCACTGCAAAGGGGCGAAGTTTAAAAGAAAAAATTCAATTTTGTGTACAGCCAGAACCAAGCTGGGAAAAATTTGCCATAAGAAAACTTGGAAAGGGAAAGATTTATGGTGAGTAAACTTTGAAACCTACAATATTTATTTTTACTTATTTTATGGAATGTATGGTTCAATATTTTTTACAGAAAATTACTTTGATGCCAAAACTGCTGCTAAACGAGCAGAGGAAACATCGGATATAAACAATTCCGATGATGAAAAAAGGAGGCGTAAACGCAACCCTTTGTTGGATAGTGAAGCTTCCAGTGAAGGTGATACTAGTGATGAAGTTAGGCTTCCTGTTAGAGGTGAGATTTATATTATTTTTATTTGTAGGTGTTTTTAAATTTATATTGATTTTAGAAAAAATTAATAAAAAAGAAAAAAAGAAAGAAACAGGAAAATATTTGGAATCCACATCCACATCAAAAAATAATAATGGTTCCACTGATGATGAAGTTTTTTTTAGGCTTCCTGTGAGAGGTAAGATTTATATTATTTTTATATTTAGGTAATTTTAAATTTTTATTGATTTTAGAAAAATTGGATAAAAGAGAAAAAAAGAAAGAGGGAGGCAAATACTTAGAATCCAGATCCACACAGGATAAAAATAATGGTCTTTATAATAAAAGTAGTTTTTCAGGAATAATTAATGAAATTTTTATTACAGATGTGGGACAATTATTACTTGATGATGCTATACATAGTATTGACAAAAAAGTTGAAAACCTTACTAGAAAGTTTGAAAACTTTATTAAGAAATTTGAAAACCTTAATGGTAAGTTTTATAATAATTAAGAACTATTCAGGTATAAATTCAAATTTTGTTTCAGTTATGGTAAAATTAATAGTAGACCAAAATGTTTCAATAAACAAAAAAAATGATGATTTGGCAATTGATTATAACAAATTTTTGATTGAATCAAATGAACAAGTTAAATTAAATGAATCAAAGTCAATAGACAAATTTAATATACCTGTTAACAATGAAGAAGAGTTAAGGGATTTGGAGGAAAAACTAAAAGATGAAAAACAATTTGATGAAATGGTATTTTTCTTTCTACTGTTAATATATTTTAAATATTTGTATGTTCTTTTAGGTCCAATATATACAAAAAATAGGTGGATACAGTGCCTACCAGTCAATAAAAAGAACCATGACTAGAGTTTTGAACAACAAAATTCAAACTGAATTTAATTGGTTAGGGGCAAAGGGGAAAAAAGCTTTTAAAGATTTGTCATTAGCAAAAGCTTTAATTAGTAAGTATGGTTTTTTATTTTTATAAATACAAATTAAACTTTTTCTAATATATTTTTTAAAGAAATATTTATTACCAAATTAAACGTGCAGAAAAAAAACAGCAAATTTCAATTAATAATAAATATTATTATATTATTTATTATACCACTTTATTTTGTTTTGTTAATAAAATTGATATTTTTGTACATCATTCTATAACATTTTTAGAAGGAGTTCTTCTTAACCCAGCCTGCTTCAATTGTACGGAAGAAGATGTGGAGAAATCTATTAAGGGGTGGCTTAAGCATGCCAATGACAGAGAGATACTTTTACAGAAAAACAAGACTAAAGACTGAATATTAATTTGTTATTAAATTAATGTTTTTTTTACCTTTTACACACTATAATTATATTATACTTATTAACACATTTTCGTGTCTAACATTTAGAATTAATGTTTTTTTATTATTTTGAATTAGTATTTATTTTGCATTTAAAAGTATAATATAATTGTGCTGGGTAAATACATTAAAAAGAAATATTATATTTTTTTACTACTACAGAGTTTATTCACATTTTATAATAAATATATATACAGGGTGTACAAAGTTATCTGCTCACCATTGCTAACTTTCTTATTATTTGATCTACAAAGTCAGTTATATTAGCAAATTGGTGGCATTTCTTCTTCTAATTAAAATGGTCAAAACAATTAAACGTCGGGTTTCCGAAGTAATTACAATTTTTTTTTTAAATGGGACACCCTGTATATTTTTACATATTTTGAAAAACAATTTAATTTGGAACAACAAATTATTATGGCATTACTACCCTAAACTTAAAAATAAACAATTAATAGGCACTTTCTGATTGTTAAAATTTGGATATTTCAACAACAATCAGAAAGTTCCAGTGCTTATTAATTGTTTATTTTTAAGTTTAGGGTAGTTATGCTATAATAATTTTTTGTTCCATATTAAGTTGTCTTTTCATTTAATAAAATGTTATTTTTGTAATTACTTCAGAAACCTGATGTTCAATTGTTATTCTGTCTTAACCATTTTAATCAGAAGAAAAAATGCCACTAATTTGCTAATTTAACCGACTTTGTAGCTCCAATAATAATGGAGTTAAAATGGTGAGCAGATAACTTTTTTATAATAGGTATTTTTTTTATTTTATATAATTCGCTATATAAATTATATGTATACAGAATTAAAATAATATATTTTATTAAGTAATAAAATGGTATTTAATTGTTTAAAATGTATCCCCAACAAATAACAAGGCCATTCAGAGGATGTCCTCAGGACATCCCATTCCTGGACCTACATATACCCATGGGACTTTCAGGGGACATCCTTAGGATGTCCTATTCCTGGACCTATATGGGCCTAGGGATATCCCTAGGATATCCTAAAGGCCATTTGCGGGACGTCTGTAGGCTGGCCTTTTTTGCACCACTCGGCCATGGTTGGGATGTCCTGAGGAGGTCTGAGGGCGTCCTAGGATATCCTTGGGATATCCCAATATCCTGTAAGGCTTTCCTTAGGACGTCCTTAGGACAGACTTGTGCTAGCTGGGAAATGTTGTTTCACTTTTTGAAAAAATATTGGAAGATGTGGTAAAAGAACAACTGGTTGAATACTGTGAAAATAATAATGTATTTTGTGAAAACCAATCGGGTTTTAGAAAGAAGCACTCATGTGAACCACTGTGATAAATATATGTGATGAATGGCAAAAACATAAAGACAATAATTTGAATATATTGGCTGTTTTTCTGGATTTTAAAAGGGCATTTGAAACTATTAATATAAACTTACTATTAAGAAAATTAAATAAAATTGGTTTTAACGGAGTGGCATTAAGTTGGTTTGAATCCTTTTTAAAGAATAGAAAGCAGAAAGTTAAATTTAAAAATAAATTCTCTGAAGAAATTAAAAATGAACATGGGGTTCCTTAAGGAAATAAATTAGCTGCCATATTGTTTATTTTATATATTAATGAAATTGCAAAAGTAATATTAAAATGTAAAATAGTTATATTTGCGGACGATACCATGTTGGTAATAACCTAGAGGAAATGAGAAAAGAAATACACTGTGATCTTCAGAGAATTTATACCTGGCTTTGTGATAATAGTTTAAGTATTAATATTCAGAAATCTAAATATATGGTAGTTAGTAAGTTTAATAATAATGTAGACCTTAATATTATAATAAATGGAATAAAATTAGATATAGTTGAAGAAATTAAATACTTGGGAGTTATAATTGACAAACAGTTAAATTTTTTAAGCCATTTTAAGTATGTACAAAACAAGATTAATAAAAAAATATATTTTTTAAGAAGAATTGGAAGAGAATTAAGTATAAATATTAAAATAACATTTTACAAAACACTAATAGCCCCCACTTTGAATATTGCTCTACAATTCTCTTTGGACTTAACAAAAATGAACAAGAAAGACTACAAATTCTACAAAATAAGGTTATGAGAGTAATACTGCAATGTAACAAATACACACCTGTAAATTTAATGTTAAATGTACTTAATTTTATGTCTGTTAGTCAAAGAATAACTTTTAGAACCTTAATCTTTGTTTTTAAAATATTAAACCATATGACTCCCATATATTTAACTAAAAAAATAAAATTAAACTGTGATATTCATAACTATCCAACAAGGCAAGACAAAGATATTTATATAGATAAACCAACGTCCAGTAAATATAGCAAAAGTATATTTTTTAAAGGATTTCAATTGTATAATAATTTACCACCTGAAATTAAATACTGTGATAACTTCATTCATTTTAAAAACTTGTTAAAATATTTTGTGATAAAAAAATTGTGATATATGTATTTAAAAAGTTAAAATAATGTAAATGTATACTTGTTTTAAATAGCAGAGGCTAAATAAATATATTATTATTATTATAATAATAATAATTTATTATTATTATTGGTATATGGTACGCTTAGTATATTATTTCAGCTACTTAAAACAGTAAGGCGAACCTTAGCCAAAATCATTGTTTAATTTGTATTATTGATTGCACTTACCCCTATAATTAGGTTTTTTCAACACCACGTAAATAAAATACAATTATATTAAAAAGATTCTTTATTACAATAAAATTATTTGAATAAATTTCCACAAAAATAAAAGTTAAATACAAAAATTATGAAATAACTAAATTTAATAAAAAACATGGTGGCTCCTTAAATTATCGTACAAATATCCTTAAATTATCCTATGAATATTTTTAGAGAAATTGAATACAGTAAAAACCCCACCCAATCAATATATTGTAACGTTTTTAACTGTTCGTAGTGTGAATTAAAACACGCACTGGTTTATTAACGAACTAAACTATTTATTTTATAACTTAATTACACTTAAAACACTAAGAAACTATAAAACTAACTAAACGCTTAACTATAGTTGAATTTATAAGGAACGACGCCTTATGGAGTGTCAGTCAAGTTTTGGTACTCGCGTCGAAATAAATAAATATACGTGCAAATAAATATACTAGTAGTGATATAGTATACTAATTATTTATATATCACTACTAGTATATTTATTTGCACGTATATTTATTTATTTCGACGCGAGTACCAAAACTTGACTGACTCTCCATAAGGCGTCGTTCCTTATAAATTCAGTGCCTACGTTCCAGAATATTCCAGCGAGCTCCACACTCTCGATTGTTCGAGCGCTGACTCACCGGCGATGACTCATCATTCCGAGATCCAGAGCCGAACTCGCTACAATATAAATAAGAAGTGTTTGTTAATTTAATTTTTGTTTGTAGTTTTTTTTTCTTCTAAATTAGTGTTGCGCAAACTGCCTAGTGAATGTGAGAAGTAAAAACCTTGCCGGTAACATATGCATTAGGTAGGTATTACTTTAAAACATAACCTCCAAAAATCAATATTATAATACCTACAGGTAAAATGTGTTTTACGATCCGTATCGGTTAAAATGGGGAGTTCAACAATATCCCAGTCCTTTAATAACTGTTCCATACGTACTCACAACACGATAAAAACAGTATAATATCACAAAACTATAGTTTTGTGATATATATAGTGCGTATACGCACTATGCAAAGCCGTAAACAGACAACCACTAAATGGCCGAATTTTCCGTTGCCCCTTCAATCGTATCAAATTTCATTAATTATAACATTATTAGTATTAACCGCAGTAGTGATAAACGTCAAAAAATTACTATTTGTAGTGGTAAGCTATTTATTAGGAACCAGTTGTAATGGTAAAATTAACCATGACGCAGAATTGTACAATTTTTAACAGTTTTGTTATAATCCGTTATAGTAGTGGTAAATTTAATTTACAGAGTATACCATTTCGTAGTGGTCTGTATCTCTCATTTAATAATAATCCTAATAACATTGTCCCTGTTGTAGTAAGTCAAAGTCACTTTTCTACTACAAAAGTAAAATAAAAGTGAGATAATTTTTTTCAGTCTAAAAATAGGTCTATATTTAGAATTTACTACCTGCTCGTATTGAATTAATTATTTTGGGTGTATTTCATATTTAACCGTACTTTTATTAAATCGTTAATTTTTTGAAATATTTTTTATAGGTACCTACTTACTTTTATAAAAACTTTTAAAAAGAACTTTTTATGCTAAAAATAACGTTGTAGTTTTTCAAAACTTACTTTACATTTTTTAGAACTAACAATGATTCAATACACTATTTTACATCATATGAATAAAAACACATTTTTTTACTAGTTGCACGATTATGTGTTAAAATTAAAAAAATATATTTAGAATTTTTATATTTGGTATATTTTTAATTAAATATACTAGGATTTATCAAAAACCGTTTGATATAATTATAATAAAAGAATTAACATACCTGAAAACTATCTAAAAAAATGGTCCTGTTGAAATGTAAGCTCTTAATATTAAATTTACAGATCGCTCATTTTTTAAAGTAATTTGAAATTGTATAACTCGTCAATGCATTATTGGACCGATAAAACTGAAACAAAGTTTAGTAGGGAATTGAAGGCTTTACAAAAAAGGTATCCCATCATTTTATGAAAAATTAACTCTTTTAAAAGGTATTCAAGGAAAAAGTTGAATTTAGAGAAATTTTCCAGATTCTCCTACTTTTTCAGCGAAACTAAATTAAAGGTAAAATTTAGTAGGACTCTTTATTTAAGAAAATATACTGCTAAAACAACGCGCAAAGAAAGCGGCAGTTTTATTTAAAAAAATGGTAAATAATAACATTAATACTTATTCTTCCCTGGAGTAGGCGAGTGGTATTAACAAACACGAACGGGCGTGTGGGTGACAAGTATCACCCAGCCTTTTTAAGCATATTTGGACAGTTGGGGCTTTAAAAAAATATATTTAATACAAAGTTTTATTAATAAAAACATATTTTCACTATTAAAATTAAAAAAAAAACATAAAATATATTTTAAGAACTTAATTCACTTAATACAAAGTTTTTATAATAATAAAGGTATTTAAACTATTAAAATCTAGAAAAAACATTGAAATTTATAAAAAATAACATTAAATATTTTTAAGAGCTTAATTTTTATTTAATTTTTATTCGTAGCACCTGACACAAACGTCTTTCAAATGCTCTCCGCACATCCACTGTCCACATATTACACAAAATCTTCGCGTTGCCTTGTCCCTGATTCGTCCACATTCCTGACAACGTCCTCTATTTCCTGTTCGCTCTGATATGTTTTCTTGCATTTGTGGTATTCCTAGAAGTAATTTTGCTCTTCGTCTGATTTCCACCCTTACAGTATTATTTTCCGATCTTCTTGATATTTGAGGTCTTATCAACTCCCAGGCAATGTTTTCCAAAAATGTATTCCTCTTT